TATTACTTGATAAAATTTCTATTTTGTAATTGTAATTTCATGACTGAATTAGGCAATTAGCTGCGTGTGGCCCTTAACTTTCCAAAAAATTAAGTTTCACAGTCACAAATAAAAAAAATAATTCCACATAAACATCATAAACAAAACAATTCAGCTATCACACACAAGAAAACTTTAGCATTCAACTGTAATATAGTTTTACAATGGCAACGGACCAAAGAAAAAAAAAATTGTATTCTTGAAAAATATCCACAAAGAAGAGTATACCACTAATCAGGAAAAAAAATCCCAACATGCAGGAACCAGATGTTCAGAGGAGTATACTTTTCTCTTCTTTCAAAACAGAAAAAGAAAGAGATATAAGCCCCGGAGGGTTTCAATACAAGAAATAAAACAAGCCAAAAGACACAAAGCCAAAACACTAAACAATGCAGATAATATAAGGTGAATCTGCTCCCTAACGGTAAAAATGCACAAAGAATCCACCATTGATGACACTAGCCATTTTGCTCCTCCGGATTTCTTCTTCCTTACTTGTATATTGTGAAACTTCACCGAGCAAATCCTGTTTCATTTCCCCATTCCCTCTTTCTCCTCAATTATACAGTTTGAATCATTGCCAGCAACTACAAATCTGCTGCTAGTGCCAATTCTATCCGGCCTGAATATATCATCATTCTCCAGAATTGCTAGTTTCTCATTGGCTTCCCCTTTCAGCAAGCTCACCACTTCAAGCATTGTAGGTCTCTTTTCAGGTGTTCCACGAGCACAAACTAGCGCAACAAGAACCATCCTTTTAAATTCGGCTTCGACGTAGTCCCCCTTGAGCTTCGGATCCGCCATTTCTTGGAATCTCCTCTCTCGAGCGAGCGGAAGTGCCCATTCTGAGATGGATCGCTTCCAAGTTGAGCTCAACTTCTCTAATGGTTTTTTCCCACTAGCAAGCTCTAGTAGTAGTATTCCAAAGCTGTACACATCACAGCTCTCCGAGGCTTTACCAAACATAGCATATTCGGGAGCAAGATAGCCAAGGGTACCTTTAACTCTTGTGGTAACATGGGTTGCACCTTCAGGAATGAGCTTTGCAAATCCAAAATCTGCAACCCGAACCTGGAAACCAGAATCCAGTAGAAAATTACTTGCTTTAATGTCTCTATGGATTATATGTGGTGTTGCATGGTGGTGAAGGTAACTGCAAGTAAAAATAACAATATCATTAAACTTTAGTGGATATGTGATCATGGAAGACACAGTTTGGAATGAGAGGGAGAACTAAGGCTTAGGCTTCGTTTGGAGCGGCTTTCTTGCTGCTGCTTAAAACAACTTTCTAGTACAAAAATTTTAATTTTTATGCTAAAAAGTCGTCTTGAGAAACAGTAAGAAAGCCCTCCCAAACGAGGCCTTAAATGGTCTATAAGCTTACGCGATACCCTCAGCTGACCCTATAGCAATATTCATGCGCCTGCTCCAGTCAAGAAGGTTTTCAGCTGAATGCTCCCCGTAAAGATGTGACATCAAACTTAGATTTGGCATGTAGTCATAAACTATCAAGCGCTCCTGCCCTTCAGCACAATAACCACGCAAGCACAGAAGGTTTTTGTGTCTCACTCTTCCCAAAATCTCCACCTCTGAAGCAAATTCCATTTCAGCTTTATTGCTCCACACTTTCAACCTTTTAACAGCAATCTGAGTTAAAAGACAGAAAACACCACCAATACCCTTAATATCTGAGGAAAGAATTTTATCTTTCAAGAAAACCCTTGAAAATTAAAATGAGAAGAGAAAATAATTGTATAGATGAATTTATTCCACGGTTCTATCTATGTAAAAAATAATATGAGAAGTTGTTTATAAATAAAGAGAGTTATGTTTTTTGCTTTATTTCCATTTGTAACCACACCCATCGCTATTAATGTCCCCATCTTCATGTGGTACCACTTGTGTTGTAAGAAGAGAAATGTGGTCGAAATTCCCTTTTTGCATGGACTTGTCACCTTGAGAGAGAGGGGATGTGCCACCTTTCATGAGGAGAGAGAAAAGTTGAAATTGTCTTGAATACTGTTTTGGAGGCTTAGCCAAGCATGGAAAACCTCATAAATTGCTTTAAAACTCCATGCCACTATTGATGGGATAGAGGTAATAATGATTGAATTCAAACTTAAACCATTGAAAGCATTTAGGAGCATTCATCTCGCCCTACAAAACTCATGGAATATGACAATTCCTTGACTTTTTTCCAACTGCGATGTGTCATATGGATGATGATTGAAACTTCCATTTCTAAGCACACACATCTCTGTTAAGCTAGCACATAAAATTTTCTTTGTCATCAACTTTATAGCCTTAGGGATGCACTATGTAAGTAATTTCATTATGATTGTAAAGAAAAGCATTTTTTTATATCTATCTACTCTAAATTTAATCCTACATGCAAAAAAACTCAAAACAAACTTGATTGTAATAATCTTAGAAACAACTTAAAGATCTCAATACAGTCAATATCTTATCTTTATTAAAAGCCTCTCATAACCAATTTTTCCTTGTACCACTTATATCCATCATATTCTTCACTGATTTGATAAGCCCACAAGTTAAATCCTTTTTGCCTGATGGTAACTCAGCTACTGCCTATGTCTGATTCTTATGAAATGACTTCAGCTCATCTTTCAGTAACTCTTAATGCCCATAATCATCAGCATACATAACTTCATCAAAACATGATAGCTCGACACAATTAGTTAGTAGTAGATAATACAAATATGGAGAATACAACTTTGTAGGATTGGAAAGTCTGTCAAATGTTCTAATCTCAAGCATAGGTGCAACAATATTAATTTTGCTTGCAGTATCTGAATTCAACTGCACCCTTACACTAATATTTACTCCTTAAATTCCATATCTGTCTAAGCTTCTTCAAGTAGCTTGCCATCAAAGGGAACATATTGTTCCTCGGTTGATCAAATAGTTTGTTGTGTTTATTGCATCTTCAAGAAAAAATTTTAGGCAATCAAACATATAATCTAATGCTCCTAACACATCCATTCAAAGTCACGTGCTCTGAAATACCCTCTTGGGATGTTCCTGGGACAGTCATACCACTCTAATCGGATTTGCTGCACAAAATTCTTGAATTCTTACATACTCACTAATACAGAAAAATCTGAAGCACTTCAATTTAATAATTTATTTGCTTTATAATTTATGTTTCCACTTCTTTAAAGTTAAAAGTAACACAAAAATAATATTCATTTCTAACAAAATGGTTGAGAGCCTTTCGATTGTGAAATAACAAAACGAGCCAACAGAAAATGAAATAGGGGAGGTATCCCCCGCAGCTGTAACAAGCTTTAGCTTTCCTGCCAAATGCATCCTCCCTCCTAACTTCAAAAAAATTAGCTAATTATTTCTTTTTGAAAACACAATCGTCATAGAAGCCTACATCCACAAGCATTATGCCAGACAACTTGCCTCATAATGCATGAACTACCATCTCTTTCTCACTCATTGCCTAAGCTCATAATGTAAAGTCTTTAGTCAACCATTGGCACTTAACCTCTAGCATTTCTAGTATAAAGCATGCCTAGTTTATTTCCCAGTATATAATTATTGCAATTTCAATGAATGTATATTACTTCTCCTATAAGTACTCCAGAATGCACTTCATCATCCAGTTGTCCCATGCATGTAAGTTTTCTCTTAAAACCGACAATAATTGGCATTTTCCAACTCCCCTGCCTTTATGATCACACCCTTCCCAACAATAACCAAAGGTTCACCATGAGCAAAGTTAACCTACCAAAATTTTCATAGATGTCATTTTTCATGCAAACTCTCATAAAAAGAAGCTCCAAAATCCTTGATTCAACAAAACAATCAACAATTAAAATTAAGACATCTTCCACTCATCCATCATTATAGCATTAGAAAATTGTTTACTCAAATTCTTCTTCTTCTTCTTCTTCTTCTTCTTCTAATGACAACCTCTTCTCATCTATCTTTTACTATCATAATTTAAGTAAAGTCAAGTTGCTATATTATAATTTACTCCTCTTCTACTAGGCCCATGCCAATCTTCATAACAAGTTGATCTTCAGCAGTCTTTAATGCTCAAATCAGATCATGAGGCTTCACCAGATTCTTTCCTATGAATTCTCAACAATATCTAGATCTTCGACTTTACAAACTTTAACTTTCTTGATCTAGAAGATTAACTACAATAATTGTACCATTACATTTATCCAGTAAAGCGGAAAAGTAAAGAGAAAAATGTAAGTAATGCATGAATTTCATTATAAAAATTAATCGATATAGAACTCAATTATCCAGCAATGAGTTCATATAACTAATTCTCTATAACAAAAGCACCCTCATACATCTTTGGATTGAACATACATGGCATCAAATGTACCTTTTTAAGGAAGAAAGTGTTTCATACATATTTGACAGCACTTTCATCAGCCCTATCATAGTTTTTTTTCCTATCCTAATGACTATCAAAGGAACTTTAGAACTCAATTCAAGATCTTTCGATCTCCATTTGATATTTATTCTATCTTCTCTCGAAAAGATTTCATACAGCTTCTTTGAATACAAGTACTTTTCAATAAAAATATTTTAAAAAAATTTATGCCTCCATGTATATTAAATTTATGGAACTTCAACTCTTTTTTTACTGTTATTGCTTTGATTATGCCTCAAGAACAAAGCTCTTAAATCAACTGTTAGAAACAAACGAATAAATCACAAAGAAGATCATAGAAGGTATACAGATCTTACATGTTCAAGAAATAAAACCTCCTATATCCATGATCACACTTTTTTTAACTATATTAATTCAGATAAAATTATAGGGTATGATCTCCTCTAAACTCCAGAAGTCAAGGCCAAATAATACATACTTGTGTGTACCACTCTAAATGTTCTGAAGAATATAATAAAATAATCATAATATTTCCAAAATTTTATACAGGGGGATGCTACCTCCCAGCAACCACTTATCAACTAAGGGCAGAGTTGGATCTACATAAGTAAGGAAAGAATCTTTAATAAAGAATCAAAATCTTCAGCAGGAATCAAGTTCCAGAAACCTTCAACATATTAAACACATAAATGACAAAGGTTGGGCTTTTGGCATGTTAGAAGAGGGCATGTAGTTTTTCACATACTACTTAAGATAGAAGCATCAACGAATAACTTTTATAATTTACAAGAACGCCATTTGTTAGAATGGATATTACCAAAGTATGTTCCAAAGACCAAAAAATAAATAAATTTGCTACAGTTATGGTATTCCTAATCATCTCATAACTCAACATAGATTATGTACGGTTGCACAAACTCCTTTCATGATCATTGGCTTATAAATAAACAAAAAATTAATAAATAAAACAAGTAATTTGATATGACGCCCAAAAACCTACCAACATATATAAATATCTTAGAATGGAATCCTTTAGCTTGAAAAACACATAGCCAAACATATGCCTGCCATTGGTGACTTCCAAGAGATGAAAACAATAATATTTCAACGATATAAAAGTACAAATTGTAGCATAGGAATCGTCCTTACCTTTTGCAGCGCATCCAGTTGTTCGAGTAAATCATTTCATTTAATGTGATCGAAAATAAGAAGCAATTAGTCTAGTTTCGTCAGATATGAACTATACGGAATACAGAAGAGAAGGAGAAACCGTTCAAAACTTGCATGCACGATACAAAATAATTTGAAGATTTTTTTTAATTATATATATATATATATATATATATATATATAAACAAACTTATTGTTAGCTGGAAGAGGGGAAAGTACATCTAGAACCCTAAAAATTTTTTTGACCAGTACATGCCTCCAAAATCGAGAACAAATCAAACCAGTACATGAACAACGATATAGAGCCACCTCAGCCTCCCCAACAGTTTGTCAAAAGTGAAAAGCACGATAAGATAAAAATCGCAAAAAAAAAGTTAAAGAATCAGTAAGATTCAATATACCTGAGATCCATCCCAGAGTTGGCCCCAATAGACACTTCCAAACCCTCCTTCACCCAGCTTGTTGTCGTAATTAAATCTGTTCGTCGCTGAATGCAGCTCCTTCAGAGAGAAAACCCTCCATGTGTTCGAATTTCTTCTATCCGGCTCTCTCCTGCACCCAAATCGTCCTCTAAATCGTCAGCATCGGCAAATCAACAATACCCCCAAACCAAAAGAAGAAAGAGAAAACCCTGAATACAAAATGAAACGTACACATCAGTTGACCTCCGGCAAAGAAAAGGAAAGAAAGCCATCGGACTAGCCCCGATGCCCCGATCTATATCAGAGAAATTCCCAAAGCCCTCCCTCGTCCATTCCAGCCAGCAAAAGAGAGATAGTAGCAGCAACAATACACAGATCACAACAAGCAGACATTCAGCTGCGTCGTTGCCTATAGAAATATTACAATATTGACATTTGACTGAGGAAACGTCCGTTGGGCGGTTGCCGTCTAGACGAAAGTCAAGGCTTGACTAGCTTTTTTTTTCAAATTAAACGAAGTCGATTGATTAAAAAAATAATCTTCCAAGTTCCACCTTTATACTTCAAATAATATTTATTAATTTAATTATCATATTAAAAATAATAATAAATAGCATATTCAAATTTGTTCATTTATGACACATGATCATACTAGCAAGTTATTTTTTTATGATAGAGCTAGAAAATAAAACAAGATAAAAGATAGTAGCAGCAACAATACACAGATCACAACAAGCAGACCTTCAGCTGCGTCGTTGCCTATAGAAATATTACAATATTGACATTTGACTGAGGAAACGTCCGTTGGGCGGTTGCCGTCTAGACGAAAGTCAAGGCTTGACTAGCTTTTTTTTTCAAATTAAACGAAGTCGATTGATTAAAAAAAAAATCTTCCAAGTTCCACCTTTATACTTCAAATAATATTTATTAATTTAATTATCATATTAAAAAAATAATAAATAGCATATTCAAATTTGTTCATTTATGACACATGATCCTACTAGCAAGTTATTTTTTATGATAGAGCTAGAAAATAAAATAAGATAAATTAATTATTGGGTATGGAGAGTTTGTGGAAATGTATGGTATCTCGATCACTTTCACAATATCGTGAAAAATAGGATATAAACTATAACTCTCCATCTTTTTTTAATAGATTTAAGAGGGTCATAAGAAAGGCTACACCTAGCTGACTAACATATACATATGTATTGGTTGAATAATATATATGTGGATTCCCACTTATGATGTGATCCCTTCTTCTTAGGTAAGTGCCTTGGGCAATTATCTTTGGTGGGTCCTCATGATATGACTCGTATTATAAGCTTATGCAAGTAAGTCCCTAGGAACAATTCCTTATGAGCGAAAGTTAAGTGCCCATGAACAAGGGGTGAGTCGTCCCCTATGTTGAGGTGGTCATGAGCCAGGGACTAGTTCCATCAATGAAGTCATAGTTATAGGCTTCAGAGGGTTTATGTAGCTTGATCACGAATGTTTATAATAGATGGCTGGCCTTCATCGTAGCAACTATTATCAGTAAGCATATTCAATTAAGGTGAACAATCCTCAGGGGCGTAGATTAGTATGGGCGAGTCCTTTGGAGGAACTCACTGAGAATGATGAAACTTTGGTTTGATCTCCCTGAACGGGTTTGTATGTTCTGATCTCAATAGGGGCAGTGATTATTTAACTATAGGCTTGTTTCAGCTGCTAATCTATAGTTCATGGCTTCATGCTTCATTCGAGCGAGTACCGTTTTATCCATTTGATTAGGAGTTACTATCAAGCAGGAACTAGGTCAATAATACGATGATCTTTAGCTCATCTATATGATGTAATGCATGTTCAAGCTGGCATTGGTCAAAATATTATAAATGATAACTCTATACTTTGACATTGAAGATTGATATTTCATGAAATATAATCAAGAGATTAGTAAAAGTAGAGGTACTTAGTATGTTGGATTTCACTAACTTGAATACTTATGTGAGTTGCATTAAGGGAAAATAAACAAATAAGTTAAATAAAGATACCAAGATAAAAATAAATATGTTAAGGATTATATATATACATATTTATCATCCAAAAACAAGCTTTTATGATCCAAGATAATTCATCACTTTTAAATATGATGACTATATATTTTTTCTAACTTCAAAACAAAAATGAAGTATTAGATGTCTTTAAAATCTTTAATGCATAAGCAAATAAAAAATGTGAAAAATAAGTCAAGAGAGTGAGATTTGATAGAGGTAGTGAATATTATGAAAGATGCAATAAAGATGATCAATGGCTTTGCCCATTTGTAAAGTTCCCATTAGAGAATGAGATTGTTCCTTAATACAGTTTACCTAAATCACATGATTATATTGGTGTAGTTGAGAGAAGAAAATAAATAATGCTAAACATGCTAAGGAGAATTATTAACATCTCTAAACTACTTAAATTCTTACAGACTGAAGCTATTGAGATGGCATTGTACATATTAAATTGAGTTCTAGCCAATGATGTTCAAAAAACATTCTTTTAAATCATGAAAATTTTGGAAATCGAGTTTGCAATATATATGAATATGGGTATGTCATGTGAAGTGAAAAAAAATACTATCCACAATGAACAAAACTTGACCCAATAACCATTAGTTGATATTTTATTGGATATGCCAAGAGGTTTAATGGTTACATATTTTCTTGTCCATCCAATAGCTCAAAGAATAACATAAATAAGAAATATAAAGTTTTTTAAATATGATTTGATTAGTAGGAGTGATCAATTAAAGAGTATAATTCCTTATAATGGAATATATTAATGCACAACATTTTATTTTAAGTGACATATTAATTATTATTCATAGCACTCCACAATTTAAAATGACTATTAAATAGCAAAAAATTGAGATTTCACAAGTTACTAATAATGAATTAGTAGATTTATTAATTCAGAACTATTAGATACAGTTGAGCATTTAAATTTATGAGATGGGGTGTTACAACATTAATGAGATTTAGTATAGGAAAAAGATCAACAATTTCTATTGACTATATTGTCTATCTTTAGTAGTTGGACAATAATATTTGATGTGAAAATGACCATGAAATATTCTTACAATACACGAGTTGTAAAAAATTCAATTTAGGATATGTACCATGAAAGATGAGATGCATTTCATGACACATAATGGAGTCAGAGATATTGTTGAGTTACCTAGCGATGCAAATCCATTGATTATAAATGGGTTTATAAGACAAAGTGAGACTCAGTAAGAGGTATAAAGCAAGACTCATTGCCAAGACTCACAAGGTGTATCATTGAAGAGTTTTCTTAGTAGCTTTAGACTTGTGGATTTTATATCTATGCTTTTGAGGGTATATTACGATAATTAAGCTATATTCTTTATGGCTTAGAACAACAAAAATGATAGTAGAAATAAGTATGTTGATATTAAGTACTTATCCATAAGAAAATATGTCAAAGAGAATACAATGATTATTGAGCATGTGATCACTGAGTTCATAATACTTGATCATTTGATTAAAGACCTCTCATCACAAAAGTTTAAGAATTATGTTGACCATATGGTGTTGATTATTTTGCTTGACTTGGCGAAAATATTGCTTGAAGTATTTGACTATTTAGAGTGGATACAACTATGTGAAAATAATTGTCTTGCAATTGTAGGTTTTTTTTTTTTTTGAAACTTGGTGCAAGTATTATAGACATTTAAATAAAGTAATATACTATGTGCTTACAACTATCGCACTTTGATATATTTAGTAATAACTTTGATTGATTCTTAAGAAAATATCTTAAATTTAGCAAAAAAAGCTATAACAAACACAACAATGAAAATTATTTAGAAAGCAAATACATTAAAAAGTTGGCCACATATACCCTTAGTTTTAACTCTAACATATGTTCATTTTCAAATGCATGGGCCTAGTCTATTTGCCCCATTACAAGCATCATTGACAATTATATAATCAAGGTATTTGGAACTAGGATTGGTTTTTAGCTCGAAGATTAAAAATATTTTTTGCTATAACTAGCCAAGGTACACACCAATTTTCAGCCTCTTGATTTTTAAGTTGATTTTAAGCGGGGCTAGGATCAAATTTAGGCTTTGTTTGAGACGAGTTGATACTATTTTTGTAAAACTTGTATAGAGAAAATAGCTTTTTAAAGCTGTTATAAAAAAATAATTTGTTAGCACATAGATTTTTAGAAGAATCAATGACTAAACAGAAATTATGATTATGATCAGAAAAATAAAACACTAAAAAAGTTGTCCTAAATGAAATCTTAGGCATCTCAAAATCAACTCAAAATATAATAACAATTTATTTTTAAATTTAATATTAATATTAATCTCTGCTCAAATTAGAGCCGGCTAATTCAAGCCAAATCAGCTCAATGAACAATTTCAATTCAAATATTCAATATATCGAGCCGACTTATGCATCGGAGCCGATTTCAAGCCGCCACTGCATCGGTTCGATCTCGCCCTATTTGAAGGAAATGCCAGAGTTGCGGCACTCAGTATCGATGGGTACCCGCGCGGTTTCTTCCCCCGTGAAGCGCGATGACACTGTTTCTTCTCTCTTCTCAGGTGACATTGCCGGCGGAAGTGTCGATGACGGCCATCGTCCTTTCGCCCGCGGCCGAGATCGGAATCGCGATAGGGATCATGATCGCGATAAAGAAGCTCACCGCTCTTTCCTCCTCCGCCTACCCAATTTTATCCGCTCTTTCCTCTCGCTTGACGACCTCAGGGCGTACTCTCTTCTATCCTCTCACAGAGTTCACCTCGCTTTCCTTGCTTTTCTGCTTCTTATTGGGCTTGTGTCGCTCCCTTATCTATGGACCCGTCTGGTGAGCTTTATCTCCTTCTATTTCTCCGCTGATTATTGTTTTATGGATCTTTTTTTTTTCCGGTAAACTCTACCAATTTGTTTGTCTAGTTGGGATTTCTGAGTGGTTTGAGCTTGTCTGATGGCAGGCTAGCAACTAGGGTTTTACCTATTATTGATCTAATTATGTTGAATCTCTTATTATCCTTTTGTTTCTTACGCAAAACATTTCTTATTTTTGTATGTAGAATGCGCCTTACTTGTGCATTAAAGAAGGAATAACTCTTCACTGTCCCAAGGCGAGTTTGTTGGCGCGTGCATCTATCTTGTTATTTTTTCTAGCATTTCTCCTAAAACATCTTAAATTGTTAATTGAATTTTGATTCTTAAGCAGACGAGGGAACCTTCATCTCTTTGGGAAAATCCACACTCTTCTACTACTTCATGGAAGCCATGTGCTGAGCGAAGTGAGAAGCCTATTTCAGGTAAGCATACGAGCTCAAACTGGACTACTGTTTGGATTCTTGTTTTATGAGGCTTATGGGACAAAAAGACATCAAGCTGGTAATCCATGCATGATCTGGTGTATTATGCCTCAGTGGCAACGTTTAATGAACTTGGTCCAACTTCCTCTCAAGCTAATCCGAGTACTTTTAAAAAGTAGATGGAACAAGACAACAAAATTTAACATAATGTCACGGGAAGGTTTATGCAGAGAGGGCTCCTTAATATTGGGACGAACCAAACACAAAATTCCTAGAAAACATGGGGAAACAGTAAATCTATTGATAAGCAAACAATTACAACATGCTTATAGCTTCTGGTAGAAGGGGCGAGAAGTGATTTGGGCAGTTGCAAGACGCTCACAACTCCTGATAGAAGGGGGTGGGGGGTGGGGATAGGGAGTGGGCCAAAGCTCCAAGGGGTTTTACATTTTTCTTGATTGATCCCTGATATCTTAAGGCGACTTATTTATATCCTACAAAAGTTAGGAAGACCCTTTAATAATCGAAGTGCTTTTCTTGATTGATGTCCTAATCTCTTCAGGAGGCTTATTTATAGCATACTAGAATGTATAAAGGCCGACTAATAATCTAATAATAATTTAATCAATCTAATTACTTGATACCTATTAATTTACCCAATACATTATTTATTCTTGGCATTATCCATCCATTGACACTGACCTTGCCTTCAAGGTCGAGCAAACATGAAGGAAAAAAAAGATTAGCTCTTAAAATCTGGGCCATCAGATTGAAATATTGGAATTGTTATTGGGGGATCTTTATGGAATTGTGTGGGACATCTTGGATTAGGGCTAAGTGGGGATGGTGGTGGTGGATTTGGCATTTAGTTGGATGGAGGCGGATGAGAAGTTGGATATGGCAAATTTGTGTAAAGAGCCTATGTGGTGTGAGTACTTGTATGGAGAAGGATTTGAATTTGAGGAGAGAGATGATCGATGATTGGTGATGACAAAAAGTTATGGACGACGCAGAGAGGTAATTGCGGATGCAAGATGCAATTGTGACATAGCGGCTAGCTTGAAGAAGCTGATATCTCTGGGTAGCATTGTTTTGGATGTCGAGAATGTTCGATGGAATAGGCAGATCTTGTTTTGTGGATGCATATAGTGGTCTAGGCAGCCATATATGGGTAGATCAAGGACAATTGATGCAATTGTGCTTTGGTGGAGGGAGGAAGATTTTATCAAAATTGGATTTGGCAACTGCAAGATTTTGGAAGTTGAATGACATTGATTTGGCGGAGGCACAAGCAGCTAGGCATAGATCTTGGATTGTAAGCTGCAAGGCATACACATTTAACGTGGGAAGTTCATATAGAGGCGACAGATGAAAAAAATAAAAAAATCCGGTCACTATAAGTGGAAGATCTAGAAAGTGGAAGTATAAATCTATGGTGGAAGTGCGAATCTATGAAGCAAAGCAGAGATCACAGGTGGGGCGTGGGAAGCGGTGAAACCTATGCGGGAGATGGGTTTATGGGCTCATATGTGGAGATGGAAGCTCACACATTAGCAATGGAAGGCGTACATATATCACTGGTGGAAGATTCAATGGCAGCACCATTTGATATGAATCAAACAAAAAAATGCCTAGAAAACATATAAAAATAGCAAATCTATTGATATCTAAGCAATTACAAATGTCTAAGGCACTTGCTAGAGGGGGAGAAGTGCTTTTGGCAATTGCAGGATGTCAACAACTACATGTAGACTGGGGGGAGAGGGAGCGAGCTGAACGTCCAAGAGATTTCACTTTTTTCTTGGTTGATACCCTATTCTTTTAAGGATGTTTATTTATAGCCTACAACAAATTATAAAGACCCACTGATATTTTAAAGACAACCTAATTAGCCTAATTACTTAATACCTATTAATTCACCCATTACTTTGTTTATTCCTAACAATGATCCACTTTTGATCTATTCAAATTTATCTCGCAGCCAAACTTGACTTCCGTTTCTACCCTTTTACCATGGTTTCTAGTTTGACATTGGCACAATTTTTTTAATTTTTGGTATATACTTCAAGATGGTTTATTTAAATAGTTCCTGAAAGTATATATTAGGTTTAGCTTTTAACAAAATAATCCTGCATGCTTGGAATAGCATTTGGATTTAATTCTAGTTATTCTAGTTTTAATAAATTCTGTTTTTATACCCTGTAACCAATATGGGGTTGCTAGTCACGATTTCTTGTTAGGCCTTTTTAGATTTTTCTAGCACCTAGTCAGCTAGTCTCATTGGTGCTTTCTCCTTTTTCCAGTGTATATGTTCAAATTGTCCTTATTCACCTTACTGATATTATTCCGTTCTACCTATGCTATAGTCATTTCTTACTCCTCTTAGTTTTATTGATGGCATTATTCCAAATTCTAGCACGCATATCTGGGTTTGACGTAAAAGTTTGTCCATTATACAATGCTGCAATATTTTTAATTATTTCTTATTTTAGAATCAAAATGAGCATATAGGTGAAAAGGTTGGAGTAGTTCCCGTGGAAGATAAGATTAGAGAGAGTCGTCTTAGATAGTTTGGTCGTATAAAATGGCAGCATTCCGGTAACACGGTTAGAAAAGTAGATGTATTAGAGTTGATTTATGTTAAGAAAGTCAAAGGTAGACCTAAAAAGTATTGGTTAGAAAATATATAAAAATGATCTTTCTTTATTAGATTTAAATAAGAATTTAACTTTTAACAGGGTACAATGGAGGAAAAGGATTCATGTAGCCGAGCCCACAGTGAGATAAAGGCTCGATGTTGTTGTATTAGAATCGTCTCTTTTAACATTATTTCTCTTGTTTTCCTTCCTGTTGTTGGCCAATTTTAGTTGCATTAATTTATATGTTCACTTTGTGGCATGTTCATTATTTTATTGTTACGTTTTTCCGATGACACATTATGTACAAATCTGTTGTGAGTATAGTACATTGTATTCATGAAGTTACTGTTTACCTTCAAATGATTTATACAATTTAAAGTTCTATTTTACATCTGCACTACATCCAAACTAGAAAGTGCTTGGCTATATTTTAAGCATAGGCTTCAAGTTTTTTGGTTATTTGTTTCTTCATACATTCTTGACGAGCCTGCGTTTCTTTGCAGATATTCCTCCAGAAAATGAAACAAATGGCTACATATTTATTCACGCTGAGGGTGGTTTGAACCAACAACGCATAGCCGTGAGCTCTAATTTTTTATTTTTTTTTACATCTTTGGTTATTTGCATTTTCAGTAGTTATTTTCAAATCAGATTTCATCAATCATATATATTTCTTGTTGTTTGTTCTTTGCTCAGGTATTATTATTTTTAGCAGTATTTTCTTCTACATTTTTTCCTCCAGAAAGTTATAGACTATTTTTCCATTTTCACATGCTTGACAGTTTCAAGACTTCAACTAAGAAATTACTGATAAACCATTTAGCTTTTTGGTTTATGGTGAAGGCTACTTTCTTTGCAGCAGCAGCAACAACAACAACAAAATCAAACTTTTATCTCATTAGGTGGTGTCGACTATATGAATCATTTTTCTCCATTCTGAAGGCTATTTTGCTTTGCCATGCAACATAATGAAGAGCGATGTTCTATCTCTAATTTGATGATGTATAACTTGAACGAGAGTTTTGATTGCAGATTAACACTTGTTGAATGCCAAGAGATAAGATAGTATAAAAGAGAGAGGGATAAATGGCTTCCATAAGGGAAGTGAAAATGCCTCAAAGTGGGGAGATATGGGGGATGATCTACTGCTTTATATAATTCTCTAACTCAAAATCACATTGCTCATTATGATCTACGACATATTGAATTTCATCAATAATTGTCAGGATGAATTTACATACATATAAGTTTTAAAGTTGTGCAATTGGGTATTGAGGGGTTTTCCACCTACGGCGCGAGGCGTAAATCTTAAGGTGTTTTGAGGCGTAAGACTCAAAAGTCAAAAATCGCGTTAAGTGAAAACAAATGTTAGCTATGATTTTCTTTCATAATAAATAAATAATATTTTAAATGACGACATATTAAAATTATGTTGTACTATGAAGCAACAAATTGACATATATATGAAATAAAAAATTTTACAGATGTAAAGTGACAAGTGATAAATTGTATGAAATTGAATTAAAATAGCAAAAACTACAATGAAAAAAGAATATGAAGTTTAAGAATTGCGTAAATATAATATATCACATAAAGTTAAATTCCAAGTTCATGCTTTCCTACTTCCCTACTCATCCAAATTTAATTTTGAAAGTAACTAGTAATAGTATGGAAACAACTCATAAGTCATCTGTGTTGTCTTCATTGAGGGGACTTCATTTTAGTCTTTGTAATGAATTGCTCTCTCCCTTGCCTCATCACTTGTGGAGTCCATGTCTGCCAATCTGCTTCTTCTTTATCTATTTTAGTCATCTTCATCTTTATTAAATATTTTCCATCAATACAAAGATGATAGTAATACTCTAATTTAAAGAAATAGAAAAAGATTATTTTTATATGCCTTTTCTTTTTAATTTTTCTTTAGTTGACTTGTGCTTGATGTAGATGCTTTGCTTCTATTACCATCAAAGAAATCAAGGTTAAAATCTCATATTGTAATTTAGATAGTATTACCTCTACTCCATTGCCCACAAATTACTCATCATTTGATGTCATGTCTGGTAAAGCAAAGGGTCCTTGTTTTCTTCAACACTTGTTCAGGTTTTTGTCATTGAGTCTCTTGTTGTACTTTGCTCCTGGTTGTTGTTTTCACATCCAGATGAAGAACATATCAATCACAACAACTTAACAACAAAGTGTTGGAATTTGGTAGTGCATCACCAAACTATATGATGTAGACAAAAGGGGGGTCAACTCATGTCCAAAATAATATGAATTTTGGCTTCCCATGAGTCTACTATATGAGCTGGAATTTTAGCTCATTTATGAGCTGGATTTTAGTTCATTAAATGGAACTAAAAGATAGCTCATTATTAGCTAAGTTTTAGCTCATATTTATCCTTTATTTTAATGCACTTTTATTATAGTTTTTAATGTCTTAAAGTTGTCTCTTGGGTTTCCAAAAAGGGCTTTTGGAATCCCAAGAAGTTGTTTGGTTTTCCCATGGTGGCTCCTTGAATTCCACCATGGCTTTTTCCGTGCCTTGCCTTTTGGGAGTCCAGCCGGCCTTTGTTTTTCCATGCTTGGGTGTTTTTCCCGTGGCTGTGTTGCTTTGATTTCATGCGGCCTGCTTGCTTACCGTGATGTTGGCTCCTTGGTTCCGTGAACTACCCTTTGATTCCCGTAACTGGTTTTATGCTGGGCTGTTTTCCGAAATGTCATTTGGAAATCCTATGAAATATTATGCTTGGGATCTTGTGAACATCAACTAAGGTGGCTTTTTGCATTCCTCTACTTTGCCTATAAATAAGAGAAGTTGTTAAGAATGAAGTTAGTTGAATGATAAGTTATTTTTGGAAGCTTTAACCTGCGGGTTTGCTTTGGAAATCCTGCGGGCTCTTTCCACCCTTCTTTCTCATCCCCTCCGGAAATCCTGCGGGCTCTTTCCAACCTTTCTTCTCGGGCTTCTAACCTCTTTCGTCTCTCCGCAAGTGCCACTCCACCTGTATCCTTCTTTTCTAAGTGAAGCAATTTTAGGGTGTCTTGTTTGAGTTGTTTGAGTCAAAGTTTGTAAGTCTTCATTTTATAATATTAAAGTTGTTTATCCAATTTCTCTACCTTTTGGGGTATTTTGTGTCTTCTTTTATTTAGAAGTCCTGCTTTATTTTTGTGATAAAAAAATATAGGCTCCCTATATTTTTTTATTCCATCACTATATCTACCACTCAATTGAAGTTTAAGTAAACGAATATAGTAAGTAAAATAAATCATTTTAATATATACAATTTTATCCCAAAAAATCAAATTACATGGAGATCACTTTGAAACCGTGCCTTTCTTCCATTGCAGTCCAAAGAAGCCCTTCTTATTATTGAAAGATATCAATGGCATGCCAATATTTGCTCTCTCCGACGAGTCAACCATAAGCCTATCCATACAATGGTATAATCTCAATTTTATCTCAAGATTTATTAACTTATTTTTTGCATATTAAAACTAAGGTTTATATAATAGTATTTTGAATATAAGTGATGATGAAGTTGTAGCTCCCACTTTTCATTAATAATTTTTCAAAATTTTCTATAGTTTCCCTATTCTCCTTGTAAGTTGCAGGCAATCAGATTATTTGTGTAATCCATAGTATTATATATTGAACTCATCGCAGACTTGTTCTCTGCATCTAGCATCCTCGAAATATGCACTAGTGCCTAGTGAATGTAATAATATAAAACATTATTCCATATTATGTTATTTAAAGCAATCTTTATCATAATTAAGCCACTATGTTGAAGTGAACATAGCCTTCAAAGGCCTCCTCGTCTTCAACATGCCTTGCAAAGTCAAATGTTGTAATAAATCTTATTGCTGCTGGTTTTAGTATTTATTTTGTTGAGAACTTTCTTATAAGTGCCAAAACACAAGAATGATTATATATAAAATTTATTTATCTTTTTTGTTTTAATCAATGCATTCTTATGTTGTGACAATTGCCCAAGTTTTTCAAGGATCAGTTCTATGTAATGTGCGACATAGGGGGTCAAATATAAGTACTTTATCTTCTCTATAAGTTTTGCATATGCAACCTTATAAGTACTAGCATTATTTGTCACTATTTGAACCATTAAGTGCTCCTTAATCTCATCAATAACATAATCAAGTAGTCCAAAAAGAAACTCGTTATCTTTTACCTTATCAAATGCCTAAATAAACTGTAAGAAGACAGTGCCATAAAAATTGTTGATTAGTGCATTATAATGCTTATGTTGTTTCTAGCTGGCCGTACGTTAGACATGATAGTTATCCCTATTTGTTTCTAGATCTTCTTGATTTCTCAATGCCTTTCTTAGTATTTGTTAGCTCCTCCTAATGCCATGTTCTCAAAGCATAAATGACTGAGGTTTCAATGCTCACACATAGGCTCTAAAAGAAGAAATCATATTATGTTAAATAGGGGATGTTGCAATATTAAATGTGATAGCATTCTTATAAAAAATCTCTTTATATCCATTCATACCCGTGTGCGTTCCTCCCTAGCATTCTTCAAGGCCACATGAATAAGGCTTACCACCTGTCTATCGTCCATCGTGTTCGTCATGTAGTGATCCAATGGACCCCTTGCATCCCTATTGGACATGGGCTCTAATGAGGATGAACACTTACTCCCACAGTATGGACCAAGATCAACTCTATCAATAAACTATTGATGTACAATATGCTTTAACATTATTGACTTATTCATGTATGTTTTGATCTCCTCCTTCACCGCATCGAGCACTTTGACACATGTTGCTACATCCTTATGAGATTTGGATAGGAGCTCCTTTATCCTAGTTACACAACCCTTCACCATTTTCTCACAATAATTATATTTCAATCAAACATGCATTTTGTTATTGCCTTCGACATCAACTTGACCATATCTTTTCACATTTGGTCCTTTCTATGACTCGTGATTTTATCCTTGCTTCTAACCATTCTCTATAAAACCCTATAATAACAAGTTGAGAATAATAATAATAAAAAAACAAAATAAATTAGGGTAGAAAAAGTTACAAGAAAAAAATCAGGGTTTCAACTTAGTTAAAAAAATGAAAAATAAAAAGTAAATTAAAAGGATAAAAAATTTAGCGCTTCAAAAAGTTTAAGAAAAAATTGAAAGAGTTTGAAGAATAGTTGGAAAAGGAAATATATTATGTAATAGGAAGGAGTAGTAGGCGGCGGTGGCTTCGGTGGCAGGTTGTCGACAGGGAGGTCGTGGCTGGTCATCTTTTTGTCAAGATGGGTGCTACAACCCTGGGTATGAGTGGGTGTTCGTGCGAAGTTGCGGCTATTTAGATTAGGTTAAAACATTTTATTATAAACTTTAGAATAAAAAATCATATTGTGAGGTGTATACCTCAAGCTTATGAGGTTGTTTGGCTTAGGAAAAGATGGCGCTACAGCGCAAACCTTGTTTTCACAAGCTTTAAGGTCCCATTTATCCCGAGGTATATTGAAATTTAAATTAACAAGATTTCCCTCGATACTCGGCATCAAAGTTTATTTAGTTACGAGGTTCCACTTTCTATGAGCGCAAGCCCTCATAATTAATTATCCATCCTAACACGTAAAAGAGAGCTCTCGATTTAGAATAAATCAATGTTTAGACGTGTAATAGTTTTAATTTTGGTTGTGTTAGGAATGGAGGTAGACCCTATCAAAATCCCATGGTTCCGTCATCCTAGATATACCGTAGATTTAAATTTACTAATAGTAGTGATCGTTGATCATAATATCCAGGAAATATGATTAGCAGCCATGGGTTATCGCCTCTCAGGTATCCTGAATAAACTGAAGTGAATAGGTGTGGATTTTAATTTTATTATGGTTTGGGGTTTACATCCGTTAAATACTCAATATTTAATTTAGTTTGAGATTTCTGCTTCATTTAAAAGTTACCCAGTTGTTTGATTTAGATCTGGGGTTGGGGGTTACGACTTTTATTAAAAGTAGATCGTGTAGCGGGTGTTACGGCTTCACTTGGAAGTAGCCCATATGGCGAGTCTTACGACTTTTACTAAAAGTGGCCCGTAAGCTTGAGAAGTTGGGTCTTACTACTTTTATTGAAAGTAGCCTAGAAGTTTGAGAAGTTGGGTCTTATATTTTCATTGAAAGTAGCCTATACGTTTGAGAAGTTGAGTCTCACTACTTTCATTGAAAGTAGCCCATAAGTTTGAGAAGTTAGGTCTAACTGGTTTAATTGAAAGTAGCATGTGATGCAGGTCGTACGGTCTCTATTAGAGGCTGCTAAGGTTTTTCAGGGATGTGTTATTTATTTGAGAAAGTTTTTCCTAACATTGATTAAAGTGGAACTTACGGCCTCTATTAGAGGTGGCCCATATAGAGGGTTAGAGGGGATTTAGTTTAGAAGGGCTTTAGTATTAGACATGCAACTTTGCATTTGAGTGGGTCTTATTGCTTCTATTAGAAGTAGCTTATGTAGCAGGTCTTATGACCTTTATTAGAGGTTGCTAAAGTTATCAGATATGTGCTATTTGTTATGGGAAAGTTTTTCATAACACCCTAATTAAAGTGAGACTTACGGCCTCTATTGGACGTGGCCCGAGTAATTAGGAATAGGGTTAGATTGCTTGTACCAAGAGATTTCCCCTAAAGTTGGACTTACGACTTCTCTTAGAAGTTGCCGGTTAATTTGTAAGAGATATGACTTACTACTTCCCTTGGAAGTTGTCTATAAATTGGGTTTAGTTTAAAATAGGCCTTATTGCTTCACTTAGAAGTTTCCTATTAATTTGGATTTTGCTTAGGGATTTTTACTACACTTTAAAAGCTCCCTAAAGAATTTATTAGAGCAGGTCTTATGGCTTATATTAGAAGTTGCATGTGTTTAATTTGGATAGATCTGACGATTTTTCTTAGAAGTTGACTATTAAGATGTTTTAGGGTCCCCTCCGATTGAGATTTTTTATTAACACGGCCATCATCGAGGATTTAAGTAATTAGTTTATGATTAGGTATTCGTTTGTTAATCCAAGTCGTGTCAACTCCAATCTTTTCAAGGAGGAGGATGAAACTTAAATACTTGACTAGCGCAACATTCTCGGATCTTTGAATTAGGAGTTCAAAACAACGGTTTGAGCACATGCATGATGTTTTGAATATCTTTAAAGAATCCACGAAGCATTCTCAGATCTTGTATTTGGAAGCTTGACATAAAGATTGGAGCACATGCAGACTTTGCTTTTAGTGTATAGATTGGAGCTATTATAGATGTATCATTTTTTTTCTGCTTGTACCAGTGTTGTGCATCCGGTGGCATCGACATTTTAGATTTCAATTGTTGAAGTACATAGAAGACATGTTGTTTAATTCACTTCTAGATAATAATTTATCTTTTGTATAATTGCGTTCTATTTGAAGAAAGCATTGAATGAGGCCTGCAGTCAAATGATGGCCTGGTTGTGCATGGAATGCCTTGGGGAAGAAGTTTCGCTTTAATTTTTTCTTCAAATACTTGAGGCCTTCCATGTTCAACTTGCTCCCTTTCGGAGCAAAAGTTTGTGTTAATTCATCAACAAAATCTTCTAAATTCTTGACCTTTGAGTGCAATGTTGGCAGGTTAGATGCGGTGTTTCCAATAAAAGATTTAGTATATTTGACTGCTTAGTTTCGATATCCAGTTGTTGTTCTCTGATGAATGCCAGCTAATTAGTAACATGCAAACAGCTTCCATGTAAACCGTGTGAAGTTACATCGGTAACAGGAGAGTCCACACTATTGCACTCTAGTGTTCTAAAGCCTTCAGAGTCAATGTCACATGCCATTATGTTGTTGCATTTTTCATTTGTCAAATGTTCCTTTTGAATAGTTGATCGTTGTAGCTCTTCATGATTATCATCGGTTGAGGAAGTTGTGTAACACTATGGAAAAGAGACTTCAATATGCCACTAATTTGAATCTTTATGTTGATAATCATGCATTTGATTGGGACAATTTTTCCTGATGGTTAGAAGAGTTCTTAGTTGAGTTGCTTGAAGTATCACTTAGAGTTGATATAGAACTTGTTTTGCTGGTTGAGTGTCCCCATCCACCATCACTAGTACAAGTAAGGTCAGTATAATCTCCTTTTATGACATATTGCCAAAACGGCAAGATACAAGAGAACAAATGCAAGTGTTTTTTTTAGATATCCCACTGCGGAATTGGTTCCGACATAACTTTTTTGAGCTTCAATTGTGTGGTCGTGGTATCTGTTAATTTAATTTGAAAGTGCTATATATTATTTCCCCAAAATCCAACAGTCTTTCAGCATCCCCTCCTCGCGAAGGGAGGTTGGGAGGATACTTGCCCTTTTAATCCGCTTGGACGGATTAAAAGTCGAGTAGCGAGTCAGAGACGTTGATCTTGTATGGACTGGCTGGATCGCGTATGGGCTCAGGTGACGTGCTCGTGCAGGTTGCATTGGGCGGCGGCCGAGATCGAGTGGCTTTGGTCAGGCTTGATGCGGATACAGGCAGGGACGATCGGTCGGGTTTGATTTCCTGCATGCAGATGGAGGCTAGATTGCGGGGTTGCTGTGTCGAAGTTGTGTGAGGATCAAAATGGGATGGAGGATGGGTCAGGTAGGCCAATTAAACGGGTTGGGATCTTCGTCTCTCATGGCTCCTGTTTGTGGGACGAAGATGCGACTCGGTTGCGGGGTCATGTCAACGAACATGGAGAGGCAAGCGGGAGTTTTGTCGTGCGTGAATAGGGCGGTTGTGAGATTGTGGGATTGTGCATGGGGTAGTGGGAGCCGGTTCTGTGATTAGAGGGGTTGAATTGGTGGTCATCAGAGGTGAGGCACACCTCAACCAAATCAAGGCATACACCTAAAAGTGCAAGCTTGAGGCGTGTGCCTAGAAGCGTTTTACATCGGATTGGTGTTGAGGTGCGCCTTGAATGTTTATTTTAAATAGTGCATACATACATGAACCTTTCTCCTCTTAGGAGAAGAATGGCTTTTACCCTCCTAGTTTTATTTTATTTTGGCACTATGACATTGTATAATTCACCAACTCAAAATTATATTGTTTGCTATGATCTAGAACATAAAACTATATGTAAATTGAATGTCATATATTTTTGTGATGATTATTTTACATATATAAATGAGATGAGCTTTTCTCCTTTTAGGTGGAGAATGACTTGGCTCGGTCACAGCTTGTTACCCAATCTATCTGTCTCCCTTTTTTTTAACGGGGATCAAACTCAGCAAAATTAACATTTTATTTCAAGAATTATTAGAGAATGAGAGAAGGGTTTGGTGCCAGAGAGAGAGAGAGAGAGAGAGAGAGCCCAAGAAGAGACAGATAGGAGATAGAGAAACAAAGCGGAGAGAGGAAGGCTATACTTGTAAATTGCTTGTAATATTCAAGAATGTTTCATTTATCATACAAACATCCTTTGTTTATGAGGACAATTTTAACATATACAGAAATATCAATATGGAAAGCAAGTAAAAGAGTTGCCAAAATAAATAAAGTTAAATCTTTCATCTTAGACGAATATGTATTAATGAATGCTGTAAATAAGGTATTTTTTTATTACATAATGTTGTATAATTAATCCATATAAAGCAGTGCTGACATCAATTATGATGATGAGTTGATTAACTAAGTCTTGCATCAACTCCCTTAGGGTGTGAGAACTCCTCAAAGAATTGAATAGGATTAGCTGGTGTAAATGGAGATGGTGGTGATAGAACAGATTTATATGCTTCCCTCAGCACACCAAGCAGTAGACAAATCAATGTCCATCAAAACATGCTTATGAAGTCCTAGGTATAGCAATGGATTGCTAAGTTGGGTTCTTTGAAGCTAATCATTGATCATGTCAATGCTGGTAAAGGGCTTATATGATACTATGACCTTGGTGGTAGTGTTAGAGATAAAAAATATGAGACCCAGAAGTCTTTTTAATTGTTTTTATACGTGCATTTACATTTTGATTATTGATAGTTCTTGAATTTGGTTTATCTATTTTTACTTGTGCCATTGCAGATATGTAATGCCGTTGCAGTGGCAAAGATAATGAATGCAACTCTTATTCTACCTGTGCTGAAACAAGACCAGATCTGGAAGGATCAAACGTGAGATTTTCTCTTTTCGATGAGGATGATGTTATACTTATCCAATGTCCATAATATTTATACATGATATAGTGGCTGTATTTGCTTCATCATTAGAATTGTCAATTCAACCTAGTGAATCGGTTCTAAAGGAGTTAGGTTAGTTTCTTTTTACTCATAATTAGTATTCAAATTGCTTTTATGTTATGCTTGTTTTGAAGCTTTTATGTTATGCTTGTTTTGAAGTTTTGAGTTTGCTTCATCATTCCATCTTTTTGCAATATTGATAATTATCAATTTTTCTTGTGTTAAAATTATATCATGTATTTGCTAATTGCTCAACTAATTCTTAGCCCTCCAAACATTTTCTTATTTGTTCTAATTTTTCACTTTTGAAGACTTCTTTCTCTTTAAAATTAAATGATATGCAAAATTACATGAGTACATCTCTTTGAATATCCTTGTAGGCTTTTCTATAACCCATACAAAAGGATACATACATAGTGTTGATCCTTTATGTAATATTCTATGATTATAAACCTCTTAATCTCTCCGTAGTTATTATCCAAGTCATTGCTCATGTTGAATGCTGCCTAGGTTTTGAACTTATTGAATGTAATTAATTGCCTTTGATATCAAATTTACGGATACATCAATTTCCCTAAGACAAATTTTTGTTGAAAAACTTGAATATTGTTGAATGATAGTGGGACTCATAAGTCAATCAATTTTATTAAAGATCTTTGAGCACAAGGATTAAGGATTCCAACCATTGGATAATTCCTTATGGCCCTTAGATAAAAATTTTGAGTCTTCTCTTCTTCATCTAGCTGATAACCCATCTTGGGGACTTCTTTTTTCTTTTATTGTAAAAAATATTGATTTGCTTCCATTGCAAGTCATTTGGAGAAGTCTATTTATACTTCCATACATTTTACAGAATCAAGTAATAAAATTCAATATAGTTTTTTTTTTCAACTTTTCTACATCTATCAAAGCAAGGCTAGGGTTTTCGTCTTCCGACCTTTATTATTTTTCTTTATCATTTTTTGTCGAGATTCTTCATTTTCTTCGTTATGATTGATTTTTTTGACTTCTCTCCCAATGAGTCGATCACCATGAATGGAGAAAATCAACTAAAAGAGAACTCTATGGGCTACAAGCCTCATATTGTCTCGATGAGAGATTATTATAAACGATCCTCATCCGGAGCTAAAAGACCCAAAGTTTGTATTCTATGATAAAGCAAATTTTATAGTCATGGCATAATTGTGGGATACTATGATGCCTCAAATCAGTGTGTCGTTTACATTCCTCAATTGTGCAAGAAATTTGAGATGCTGTTAAACAAATCTACTTAAAAGTGAAGGATATCGAGATCAAAACTAAAATTTCAACCAAGTAAAATAACTTTCATGTTATTGAGTACTTTATTGCAATGAAGATTTATTGGCTTGAATTGAATTTTTACCATAAGATCTCATGATAATTTGCTACGATGATGCAGTATTTCTCAAGCAATTTGTAAAAAGAAAGAGTGTTTAAGTTCTTCACAGGACTTAATAATGGTTTTGATGAAGTCCATATTCAAACATTAAGTGGAGAAAACTTGCCATTACTAAATAATTTTTCTGCTCATATGAGCCAAAGAAGGAAGGAAGATAATGCCAGACGTTTCTGTCTATGAAACATATGTTATGAAAACCACCAAATTTCAAACAAAAAGGGACTAGTTGCTACAGACTATTGCTCTAAAGAAGGGAAAAATCTTTCTTTCAAATGCAATCTATAGTGCAAATTTTATAAGAAAAAAGGGCACATCAAATAAAATTACTGAAAGCTCCACATAAACCTCTCAGACTATGGTGGAAATAAATGTCATAAAAAATAGTGGGCATGTCTTATCGAATCAGAATGGCACAATCCATAAGAAATTGACAAACTCACAAACTTCAACTATCCAAAAAAATCATCTGCATCATGCCCTTGAGCTCAAAATGTTATGACTTTTGATTCTTGTATTTTCAACGTCTTAAATAGTTCCCCTCACTCTTGGATCATAGATTTAGGAGTCGCTGATCATATGGTCAACGTTTTTTTTTTGCAAACCTACAAATTTTGCCTCAGCAATAGAAAAATAAAAGTGGAAATATTTTTTTTTTATTTTAACGTTTATTCTTAATAATGTACTACATGTTTCTCATATTTTAGTAAATCTTTTATTAATCCATAAAATTACTAACAACCACAACTGCAAGGTAATTTTTTTGTTAATCATTGTATATTTTAAGATCTCACTATGAGAAAGACAATTAGTTAAATTAGAGAAAATGATGAGTTATATATTCTTGAAGACGAAGACCACTTATCATATTTCTTTATTTTCAACCTCAATATGGAAGTCATTTGAGAACATCATTATTGGCTAGATCATCCATCTTTCAAAATAATATATATTTCCTTTTCTTATTTTGAATATAAATGTAAACAAAAATTATTGTGAAACTTGTGAAGTTTCAAAACATCATGTTGTTTTTTCCTAAAAATGATTTTAGATATTCTATGATTTTTCTAATTGTTCACACTGACATTTAGGGACATTCTAAAATCTTTAATATTTATGGAGCCATAGGATTTGCCACATTTATAAATGGTTGCACTCAAATGACATGAGTATATTTTATCTAATAAAAATCTAATATCAATATTATTGTACACAATTTTACAGCTATATTAGAAAAAAAAATCAAGGTATTTCACTAATAATGCTTGTGATTACTTTAATTTAACAATATCATCTTTCTTTGAAAAAGAAGTTATCATGTATCAATTCTCCTATCTTGACGCCCTTCAACAAAATGGGGAGATAGAAAGATAAAGTTTTCATATTATGAAAGTCAACTAGATCATTCACTTCCACCAACAACAACAACATCAAGCCTTTATCCCACTACGTGGGGTCGGCTACATGAATCCTTTTTCTCCATTGTGTCCTATTAAAAGTCAAACTCTCGTTTAAATCTAATAAAGAAAGGTCATTCCTAATATTTTCTAACCAAGTCTTTTTAGGTCTACTGATGAGGTCATCGACAGACATTTTAGGCAGGTTTATCGGCGAAGGAATCGTAGATCGACGGCTACGATCGGGAGCTTATATTTTTGATGTTATCATGTTATTTTATTTCATGTATCTTTTATTTTCATGTACTAGTGACGATTTCGCCCTTATGTAGGCGTAGTGTCTATTGTAGCCCAAGGGGCATATGAGTCTTTTCTCTTTTCATGCTTTGAGACCTTTATAAAGGGGTCTCTTCTTGTTGTATGAGGTTAATGTTTGATTAATAGAAAATTTCTGAGATTGTCTTTGTCTTCTTGCTTGAGAGCTTGAGAAAAAGAGAGGAGAGACCTAGGAGAGGCTCCATCCGAAGTACCCAACAGCCCGCTCCGGCGAGCTCTTGGTTTTTACGTGTATTCCTTTGCCTTCCCCTTCCCCACCGAGCATCCAGCCCTCCGACACCTTCCCCATCAAGCCTCCAGCCATCCGACCCCCTTCCCCACCTCCCTGCAGCTGTCCCCTTCAAATTTCCCCTACATCCCGCCGGCCATCCACCCCAGCTCTTCCCCCCCCCTGCCGCCGGCCGAGCCACCCAGCGGCCCAGCACAGCCCACCGCCCCCCTCGGCAGCCCGACCCTCCTTCCCCTGGCTAATCCCGCCGAACTCCTTGTTTTGGGGGTTTGAATTCAGCCATCAATTCTCCATTATTGCTTTCCTAATTTGACTCATCAAATTAGTAATCAATTGATTGAGGATTAATGATCCAAATTCAAATTCAAATTGCCCTCCCCCTCTCATATGAAACTTCCCTAATTAATTAAAATCTGAAATTAAATCTCAGATTTTAATTAACACCTTGGGGCCCACTCATTAATCAAATCCCCCCTTTTTTTCTCCTTGCTTGGCCGGCCACCCCTCTACCTACTTTTCTCTCTCTACTTGCCACATAAGCACCCATTAATCCCCTCTTAATTCTCCCCTAATACCCGCCCCTCCTAATTCAAATTTTGGGAGGTTTTCTCTACTTGCAGCGGAAGGCATTAAATATAAAATCGCGCTCGCGTTCCCTCCTGATCTATGCGGATTTAGCGAAGACCTCGCTGTGATCACAATAATTTGTCAGCGGGTATTATATTACCTCGCCTATTAACTGACACAACTTGGTCTTGCGACCGGCGCGATACACTCACGCTTACTTCTTTCTTCCCGGCTCTCTGCGCTTCAATAGTGAAGATATTTCGAGGCGCTCTGGTGTTTGAACGGCGCCTGTGGGTGGGCTTCGCGATTTGATGCTCCTCCGAGCCGTGACTGCGCGTCGAAGCATGACGATAAAATCTTTCTACGCTTTCGTTGCGCGGTGAATTTCTTGGACCGTCGATCTCGATCAGTAACGCTGGATCGAGACCTTACGACCAGTCAGTAGATCAGACGAATAATTCACTTATGATGCTCAGGAGCGCCACCCACAAGTCAAAGTCTTTATATATGTAAAATATTTAAAAGTTAGTAAAATCCTCGCTGATTTTGGAATGTGTCGTTACTCTACTTAATGTGGGTGGGAAGTTATTATTAGATGTTGGAGTTGTCGCTCAAATATAAACCAAAATCTTAGCAATAACTATTTACATAGTCTACGTAATAACATCTATTTCAAATTAATTTTCTCGAGAATGATGCTGAGAGATGATGATGGTTGGAAAATAAATTTTTAGTTGAAATATAATAAGATTGTAATATTCGCCAATTTTAATTGTGTCCGTTTATTTATAATTTGTTAAATTTTTTGTTAAGTATGTCGGTTCACTAATTTACTGTTAAGTGCAATCTACATAATAGTCTGGCTTGACTCGGTACTGCGCCACCCTTTAATCGTGATACAATAATGTTTTGGTGATACATATACATACACATATATGAACATGGTTTCTTGTTTTTTTAGCACGCATAAGCCATTGCACGTGATGAAACGATATAAGAGCGAATGATTAACAGAGCCAGGTTGAGTCTACACCAACAATTAGTGTCAGCTTATTATATTGTGTAAACTATCATGCCCTAAAAGGTAAAACTTATATTTCCTAAAGTTATCCTTCGAGAATTGTGAGTAAAAGAACATCGTTAAATTAGTACACGTAATCTAAAAGCCAAGGATCGGGTCATTTAATAATATCACTAATAGCTAACTTTACGCCGGTTACACTAGTGGTTTACTAAAGTGTTTTTCTGTAGTATAAGCCGTGGAGCCAATTTAATGCTTAAAAGTTTAAAAACCTCATATAAAAATAGCCAATGGCCTCTAAAGAACGCTAAATCAACAAATGATTCTGAGTTAGCCAATGTGGATAATAACTTTAGTGAATCAAGCATTGAGCCAAAAGTATAACTACGGCCCAAATGTATATACGTGTAATATTATATAAATGACTTGTCATAACCAAAAACACACAATTCATTAATAAAGTTAGGGTTTTAAACGTGACTTCATTCCATCCCGTGATCTATTTCTAATTATGGTAGGCAACCACTCTTAATTATCTATCTTTGTTTTTAAAAAAGTGGTTCTTTAGATTAAGATCCATCATCGATGTCTTAAGCTATGTGGAATCTACTTGTGTGAGTATCTTATTGGATGCTGTGATATCCAACTATACCTCTTTGCTCATGATCAATTTTCTTTGTTTGTCATAACCTTTTGATAAACAAAATTCCTAGATAAAGTTTTTTTCTACAGGTAACTCCTATCCATAGGAGATACTCAAGATCTACTTATAGAATTGACTAAGCATTAAGTAGATAGTATATTAGTTTGAGAGAAAAGAGGAATAGAAGACAGAGCTAGAGATTTTAGAATAAAATTCAATTAATTTTATTAGCCAACATTAAAATGGACAAGGATTATTGTACCTATATTGTCATG